TTATGATGATCAGCACATTTACAAAAAAACTCAAGCTGATTATCTGTTTGATATCTTTGGCACTGGGCAAATGATTTTACATCTATTTCCCTTAAAAATTAAAAATTAAATATAAGTAAAAAATAATAAAATTAATATAACTTTGAAAATTAGTCTATACCAGTTTAACTTAACAAATACTTTAAGCATATTCATTTCTTCATGTAGAACATCTGAAAGTAAAATTAGCCATAGAAAGTTTTTTTTTAACTTTAATGCTTGATTATATGGTACATTATCGCATATAACAGGTATTTATTTATGCTTTCTAGATTTAATTCTAGCAATTATTTCTATATGTTCTAAAACTTTTTGAATATTTACTAAAGAATTAGGATTAATAGAAATCAGATCAGAGACATATAATTCTGAAATTTTTATATTTTGATCTGTTATAATTTTTTATATTATACTAATTCTAGATTTTTGTGATTTAATGTTAGATTTACTTTGTTTTTTAAGTTCATAAAGCTTAAATATTATTGTTTTATTTATATTTTTTGATTCTAATACTAATGGTTGCTAGAAAGATGACACTTGATTTATTGAAGTAAGTGTTAGTAATTTTGCATTGCAATTAGAGCAATTATGCTTTTTGTTATTGATTTCTGATATAAAACATTGTAAACATTTTTTCATTTTATTAGTTATATTATTTTGCTTTTCAATAAGCTTATTAATTTTATTCGATTCTTGATATTTTTCTGCAAATAAATTATTTATTATTTTGTTAATAAAATATTGAAACTCTTTTTCAAGTTTTTTTTCATATTATTATTTAAATAAAACAATTGATTAATATTATCTTCACTAAGTGAATTGCATCTTTGTAGTTCAATTTTTAATTGACTATTATTATTTAGATCAAAATTAAAAACTACAAAACTAGTTACAATATGATATACAACTGTATTATGCCTCTAATCTAAGTAGTTCTTTTGGCCTTTTTGTTTATTATTAAAGGCTAAAACTAAAAATCTGTCTGGCAAAAACTTAGATTCAATTGCTAAACTCTCAATCTATTTTACAATTTTTGTATATTTACCTTCACTAGTAATATGATTATTTACATCTATTATAAGTTTAGACTAGGCAATAAAATATTTAATTGCAGATGCAGCAAGATTTATTGCAGAAACATATTTGCTATGTCATGATCTATAAATTGCATCTACAGCAGTTACACATTTGAAATTTTTATTTTGATGTAATTGTTCATCATCATTATCAATAAGTGTTTCTATAAATTTTACTATTACAGAATTATGATATCTAAGCCAATTAGGAGGATCAAATTCTAATAAATTTTCTAAAGAAAATCAATTTTGATCATTAATTAGGTAAACAATATTATTATATAAAAACTTCCATTCTAAAAAAGCAATTTTGGTGATTTCTACTATACACTTTTGTTGAGTATTATATTGTTCATTTTATTGTTTATTTAAGTATACATTTTTATATTCTAATTTATTTTTTTCTATTTTTAATATTTTAACTTAATTTTGATATAAATTTAAATATTCTAAATTAGTATTAAGCTTAGTAATTTGTTTTTTAAAATATTCACATTCATGTTCTAATTTAGAAATTCTATTATTTTTAGCTTAAATAGTTTGTAATTGTTTGGAATGATCAGTTACAAGATTAGACAAAGAAATTTTTAAGGTATCTATTTGTTTTAAATAATCACTATCCATTATTACTTGAATTCTGATATCAATAGTTAAAGACTCTTGAGTATCACTTAAAATAGAGCTATTATTACTTAGTAAATTATAGCTTCTTTTTCAAGGATAATCAAATGTTTTAACTCTTAAATAGTTCAAATAGTTATTTTTTGCAATCATTTAATTATAATGTCTTTCGCAAATTACATATTTTTGTAACTCATTTTTAAGATCACTTAATTCAGAAAAATAAGGTTCAAATAGTTGAATTCAGTTTTTAATTAAATCTGTAGATGCATTACAAAATCTTTGTTTCTCTTTAGTTTTGCATTCAGCTAATTGCGTCATAAGTTTATAAGATTCATCAAGTTAATTAAACAAACAAGTCAGATCTTTAGCTTTAAAATATAAAAATGTAAGTAATTAGTTTTTATAAAAAATATCTTTTAATTTACAGTTACTAACCATCCATTTTTTATATATAGTATGATAAATACAGTATAATATTGATGTAAGGAATAATTTAACCCTTATATATTTTCACTCTTTTTAAATTCTGAAATTAATAAGGTATTTGAATCAGTTTTGATAAAATTCTCTAATAGCCATTTTGCTGATAACATTTAGCCAATACTAACCATAAACCAGGTCTATTCTAATCTAAATCAGACCAACTTTGTTGATAAAACAGTTGTCAACAAAATTAGGTTATACTATTAAAATTGTATGAATTCTATGAACTTTATAAATCCTACATGTTATTAAAAAATAATAGTATGCAGAATTTATAGAATTCATTTTAATTATTTCACCAATTTGGAAAGAGTGATGATATTATTTTATTTTTAATTGTCTTCCCAATTTAGAAATTGTGATTCTATACTGGTATGATTCATTTTTAATTGTTCTACCAATTTGGAAAAAGTAATTATTAACATATATAGATATAATTTATTCCAATTGTCTGGAAAGAATGATTATATGAATAGATAAGTTTTACAGTATTACAGCTATTATTAATTATCAATAATACATTTTGATCTAACCTTAAAATTTTTATCATAGTGAATTTTAGTTTTTGAAGAATTAATACTATATTATATATTGTAGTATTGATATTGGCAATAAATTCACCATAATGATTCCAAAGTTTGAATTAATGATTTATGTCATTGTTGCAATATATAATGTTACGATGTTAATTAGGAAAAGGTGCCTTTCCAAATACTGCAATATTCTATATCTAGAATGAAGGTAAGCTTTGATTGCGAGTATTAAGGAACACAAATGTTTGATCAAGTTGGTTTACTTTATGTTTAACAATAACTATTTTAATGTAAAAAATATATTATATTTATACATTTAATAGAAACTTATATGATAAATAATTTATAACCTTATTATGTATTTTAAAAGAAAAGTGAATCTTCTTTACTAATCAAATTTTCTTTCTTTTTGATTACAGTATTAATCCCTCTTGATATATTCACACAATTAATCTATTAAACTATGATTTATTATTTATTTTATGACTACATTATTCATACAAATCACTCCATTTAACGATTACATACTTTTGATATTAATAATTATTATATTATTGATTTTTGTTAATTCAACTTCAAATCCAACCTACAATTATTCGACAAATATCATTAGTCCCAACTATGTGTTTCTTTATACAATCCTTAATAGTAGTAGTTATTCTCATCTTTGTCAAATAATTAAGATCCCTTATTAGCCTAATGCTACAAGAAATTAGTTCTTAAATACTTATTCAATTTGTATTGGTTACAAATGAAATAGTATACTGTGACAGTAATATTGATTATTAATTTATACTTTGAGAGTTGTCTGACAAACAAAGTGAATATATAATCAAATAATTGTATAAAAATAATTTTTTTTAATATTTTAACTTAAATACATATATTTAATATTTAAAGAATTTTATACTTACCAGGATCTATATGTAATATGTACCATATATTATTACCTATTTACAATTAAATATAATAATGCACAGGTGTGCTTTATTTGCATGTTATTTTGGAACGCACATGCATCAGTAATTCGAATCATTTTGAGTTACAAAAGAAAGCCTAATTTTAATAATGAACATAGCTAAAAAATTTGATCAAATATGTAATATGGTATGTTTAAGGAGTCGTGTTATTTTGGGACACGCATGGACATTATTTTGAATCAAAATTTTAAAAAAAAGAAAGTTTCGAAATAACGCCCATATGTGTTATTACGCACATATTACCAGTATTGTATTAATAGCCAATCAATTTTATGTATTGTAAGCAAATTCTAGAATTTTGATAGATAATTGAATAACGTAGATCATTACCACATTTAGAAATACCATATTTGGAAAAACACCAGACTGTAGTAGCAAATCCACAAATCAAAATCGATCACATAACCTTTGTATTTACATAACTATATCGTTCTAACTATAAATTATTATTATTTGTATTTTTCTGTTTTGCATTTAATTTCTATTATATTTATAAAAATAAAAGAAATAAGAAATAAAAGCTAAAACTTTTTTATACAAAATAATTCGATAAACAAATTGATTTCACTAATCTGTAGCATAACGATTAATTTCACCTAATCTCGTTCATGTTATATTGGTATCATTTCGTTTGCCCAACTTATTGGCGTTATCTTCATTGCTAGGATTTTAAAACTATGTTACGTATGCATTATTTTAAAGTCTATCTACCAATCAAAAAATGAGTCAATTTTTTAACATACTAAATTGATATCGATATTAGCAATTTTTTGTGTAATAATTCTCTAAAGACATTTCTGCATTTGATAAAATACCTGAAATTTAACTAAAGTGGATCAAATTTAGTGTCGAAGCTGATGCTGAAATTCGGACCTATTTTGATATGAATTTTTTAAAATTTTTTTGGGATATTTTTTTCCCGTTTTTTTTATAGTTGAGTTAGTGCTTAGGGTTAGAATTGATAATTAAAGAGTTTTAGCAGGGCTTCTATTTTTAAATCGAGAACCCAAATTTTAGCTTCGGTATCAGCTGCGACATTTAGTATAAGTTTAATTGCAAAATGTCATTGTTTTTTAATCTACAAATAACATAGATTGAGTAATAATAATATTTTGCTTATTGGAGATAGTATTAGTTTATTGTTATTTTAATGTCATTTATAATATTTTTTATGACTTGACATTTTGCCATGATTTGTATAATTTTTGTCAATTTAAAATGATATGCCATTTATGCTCATTTTCATAAAAATGTTTATGACTATATCATTTGCCATTACTAGCCTTTGAAAGTTTAATACTCTGTTCAAAGTAATTATTTGGGTGTTCGATTGTTTCTATTAAATGCCTTTCACCATTATCTCTACTATTCAAATCATCCAAACATTTGGTAATTTCAAAATATTTAGTACAAGCGATTTGGTAATGTTTGCCTCTGACAAGCTCAAGAATTTCTTTCAAATGTTCGTCCTTTCTTACACCAGTTTGAGCCAAGAGAGCTTTCAAGTTATCCTCAGAAAAGTGTTTAAATGGACATCCATGTTGATCTCCAGGACCGGGTTGTTTGTTCATGATTATTGATATACAGCTAAATTTTCAAAAAGGTTAAATAAATTGTTCAGGTCAAATTAAGAAAAGAGTCTAACTTAATCGTATCTACCTCAATGGCGTATAATCATGTCGTTTTCCTTCCATTCCGAAATTGTGTCTTATATTGTACGCATATTCTTTCTGAAATTTATCATCAGTAATGGTTGAGAATGATTTTCTCCAAAAAATAAGAGCCTCTTCAACAGTAAGGCCAATTCCCTATATCAATTAAGGCAAAAATTAATCTTAACCACAGATTATTATAAAAAAGATAAAATAAAAAAAACCTTTAGGAATAAATTATATTGTATTCTTGCAAAATGCCTAAGATGATGATTTTCACGAAGTTTCAGGTGCAGATGTTGCATGCACAATGGAAAGTGCTCAACCAACTAATATGTAAGTAAAAATGGTTAAGATTTTAAGATCATATAAGTGAACGTAAACCTTTTAATTTGTTAAATTACTTGGTCAACGTTATCAGCTGTTACTTTATCAGTAACATTATTATTTATATATGTTCTACCAAAATATTGTTGATTTATATTGTTTAAAAGCGGTAAGATTCTTTCATCATCAATGCTTGGAAATGCTCTACTTGCCAACTATCGTAAAAATTTAGAAGTTCTTAAAAAAAGATTGATAAAGATTACAGATAAAATTGAATGACTCACGTCCAGAGCGACAGAAAGCTTTTTACGAAACTCTCCTACAACAAGAGTGACTTGTTCAGATAATGGAACGTAAGCCTTCCCAGCTTTTAAATATACGGCACGTCGTGAGACAAGATCCGGAACTTGTTCGAAGTCCACCTGTCATTAATGAAGTGATTATACATGACTAGGTCATTTAATAAAGGATTTATACATACAAAGCATGAATTCTATTTTTACAATAAAAAATGTTTCTTGGTCGAACATGATGTAAGGATTTGCGTGTGATAATTCATTTTTCATTGATTCTTTTTCACCTTGAGTTAACTGCGTAGGTATTAATTAGCTATTCAGAGATAAATCCGATTTAAACAGTTTATTATAAAAACAAATACACTTACATCTTTCCAATTTAGTTTCTCGTTATTTAAAAAGGCTTGTCTCTCTTCCTTATTTTCTTCAATAAATCGAATTCTGTAATAATAAAAAAATGCATATTAGAAAATATTAAGAGTTATCTTATCACTAGGGATGCTGATGAAATTGATTTCATTAAATTTCATCAAATTATTTCAACACATTCTTAATTATTACCTGAACAAGGCGCATTCATACTTGATAAACCATTTACGCAATTCTTCTCTTTAATAAAATAAAAGATAATTTTGCATAAATTACAATTGGTTAGAAATTGTTTCAGTTTATTTATCTTACGTTCTGCAATAAGCCAATCTCAAAATAAAATGAGATATATGATCTTTGCGTCGTTCTTGTTCTAATGGGTAGCCCTTGCCTCCTTCGGTTGAATGCAATGGAAGATATTGATTTGACACATCGCGTATATGATCCGCGATCTGTCTTTCAGTTTTACTCCGTAAAACGGCACCTTCAATGGCTTTCAAGACTAAAACAACAATTATAATCAAAATATTGACTTTACAATTACAAAAATTATTTGATTAAATTACCTTGCAATCTATCTAGAGCGAATGTTTCAAATTCTTCTGTACTGATTTCTTCTATAGGTGGAGTGTTATAGAAATTGAGTCGATACGGATATTTATGTTCATGATTCTTAACTTCACCGGTTTCTGAAACTGATAGATGTCCAAGAGAAAACATGTTTTATTGGAAAAGCTTTAATTTCTAAGTTCGTTTATGAAATAAACGCGGTTTTTGCAAAGAGAACGTTTGTTTTGATTTTTTTATGTTACACGCGATGATTTGCTGTTAGGGTTTTGGCACAACTCTACCAGGGTGGCCTTCAAAAATACGGGTCATGTGGTGGCGCCACCACATGACCCGTATTTTTTAGGGATGTGATCCTGCTTAAACTGGTTAGTTTGTGCTTGAAACCCGAAGCACATACAAAAACTGGGTTTCAAACTCTGTTCCAACGCATATACAAAAAATGGATTGCAAACTCTGTTTTAAAACCAGTT